AATATGACTTGTGCTATGCAAGCTATATCGGCTTCATACGCTGACAATCAATTCAACGCGTTTCTAAACATAAGAACAATATATGGAGGCACGAAGTTTTGAACATAAGTTTAGCATCCTGAGGTAATTCAGAAGCAAATTTCAATTTTTGATATAAAAAAAGCTCTTTATCAGTGATGTTAAACCAAATCTCGAAACCCGGTCAGACTTGATCCTAGTTAAGCTGTTTGTTTAACTGACATTAGAGTTCTACACAATTACCTTTTCTTTTTACTTTTCATATTTTCCATTATATGCGCCTGGTTGCAAATCTGTTAAATACGTTATATAGATAATTTATAGAGCCATGCTTTGTGTTTTCGAAATTACGCATGACAGCAGTCAGCATTAAAAAAAAAAAAACATTTGACTTTGATTTTCGGTGTCTGTTGACCATTGTTAATACATCATAGCTTACCCTCTTTGCCGCATTGAACGCGGTGTTCTTAAAGTGCCACTGCGACCAAAAATGCACCTTTTCTTTTCTCCATAGAGGTTGAAAGTACTTACCCTAAGTAACAAATTTGCTAAATCTTTAGGCAAAACTCCATCGAGAAGTAACATTATTTTCCCTGTAGATTCGCGATCTAAACGGCCGCCAGTTTTTGATACGTTTATTTCTTTCACTATTTTCTCTAAAACCCTTGATCTCTCGGTCACCAAAACTGGCAGCAAACAAGTTAACAACACAAACTTTGGTTTTTGATAGTTAAGCTGACGTCTGTGCCGTTGCCATGGCGACATGAATAGATATAAACAAGCAATTAATATTGGTTTTGTTTCTTCGTAGAAAATCTAGTCAGATTTTCTTTATAACTTGCATGCAACAAGCTTGTAACGATACTCACAAGTTAACAACATTTAATTTAACAGAGAGATCTTTAATTATCCCTTGTTGAAGGTTCACTCGATTTTCTAGAATTTCCTTTGTTTAAAATCAAATTTTTTTTCCAATACTCCAGTTACTTATTTCCTAAAGTATTTTCGTGCCAAATTTCGTGAAATTCTAATGAGTGGTTCTCAAGAAATAGGCATATTTCCGAGAAAGCAACTTACTACGCATGTGCTGCATTTAACCGGGTTCTTTAATTCAGCAACAACGAAAAAGCTGAGAATTGCTGTGTCCTTTGCACCGTTAACTTTTCTAACATATATTTGTAATAAAGATTAAATCCCTCAATATACTGCACCAACTATAGAGAAAAATAGCACAGATAGTGCGGGTACGTGTTGAGTAAATAAAATGACCGCTCTATTGACGGCATGCACGAAAACAGTGTTCAGCCACCTTAAGAGTCTTGTGCATCACTACCATGGCACTGTCTGGAATTGATTCATTTTGAAGATGTCCGGTTACCACATATGACTGGTTCACCGACCTCGGACCCATTCCTTCTGTTAACAATCTATCGGCTTCGTTTTACTGCACAACTGACAGATGGTATTGATCGGCTCTTTCCCGAAAGGACCATCGAGCGTCACGAGACGGATAAGCCATGGATAACTCCTAATATTAAGCTATTAATCCACGAAAGTCAGAATGCCTTTTCCAGTGGTACTATGCAAGCCTGGTACTTGGTGCGTACAAGGTGCAACAATAAATTGCCATTAAGAAAAAGAGGTTTTATAAGAACAAGGTACAACATTTAAAAGAAAGATGACTGCTCGCAGGTGGTGTAACATTCTCAATAAAATGTGTGGCAGATCTACAAAGTATTCTTACTTTCAACTAGAGCTTAAGGGGAGAATCTTTAGAAAAGAAGATCTTGCTAATAGTTTAAAAGAGTCTCATTTTAAAATGAGGACATCTCACGTCTTGATATCATGTTCAACACCTAACGACGTTCTGGTATTGTTCCCACAATCTGGAAAGAAACGGAAAGCGTAAAAATATCCTGCGAAAACAAAATTTTGCCTAAGTAATATGTTATCCTTGTAAGATCTTGGTGTGCGGAATACATTAAATCATTAATTAGGTTGTCTCCTTAATGTTGTTGCTGTTTCTCGTCGTCTAATAGTGTTTTTTCACCGGTGAGTTAGCTTCTGCTGTTTTCCATATCAAAATCGAGTTTTTGTGACTGTCCTTTGTTCTTGATATTCTCGATCTCTGACGGGCTTCCAATTAAGCCAATAGTGGTTTTGCACAGCAGCCATGTTGCATGGCAGGAACAATAGATTATTTTTCCCATGGGAAAAATTTTGTTTCTTATGCAAAATATTTTCATTGTTCCTGCCATGCAACATGGCTGCCATGCAAAACTTCTGTGTTACCAAACTCGGTCCAATACTGTTTCCAAAAGAAACACATAGAACTATGCAATACAAAAGAATACAATTAAAAGATTAATATAATATATAATCCTCTTCGTGTCACTAAGAGACACATAAGGCCTCGACCAGAGTTTGCCAATGATGTCTGGCGGGTGCTTGCCGCTCCAGGTGCCCCCAAGTCCAGTTGTTGTCCTTCATTTCCCTTCCACCGTCCTCCTCCAGGTTTCTTTCGGTTTTCCTCTCTTCCTACGTCCATCAGGGGTCCATCTGAGAGCAACTCGTGGTAGTGCTGCTGGTGGCATGCGCAGCACATGCCCAATCCATTTCCATCTCTTCTTCTGGACTTGCTGTGTGATTGGTACTGTTCGTGTTCTTCTACGCAACTCGTAGTTTGAGACTGTCTGGGGCCAGTATATACGAAGAATCCTATGGGGTTAGGTACTTGTCACAGTAGTGGTCATTGGATTGAACTAGGTTGGTATGAAAAATGAAGATTTTTTAGGCA